CACGAGACAACTAGCTTGCGAGATGCAACGTGGAGGGGCAGTCCACAGCCGCCGCTGCAATCATTTTATAAAGAATATAACGGACTGTCCTGGAACGATGAGTACAGGTGAGTTCCTGTCCGCAAACTCCATAGCACGACTCCCAAGTCTACGCACTTTACAGTCGCGGCTTTCGGCTCCTAACCTTTGTTGTCTTACTAGAATATATCTATCAACATCGCGCTTATGGCCGCACATTGTATGCTGACAGCTGGATGGATCCTTCGCCCTCCGGAGCCCACACAACCACCGCCAGCACAACCACCGCCTCCGCAACCTTCCGCGCTGCCCGCCGGGCCGAACTATTTCGTCGCGACCTTGAAAAAGAGGACCAGCACACCAATCGAGCTTTGGCAGCTGCTGGTGCGGAAACGGTCAAACACAGGTTGCTTGAGGAGTTCCGCGACCAATACTTGGGCGAGTCGAAGGTGCGTGCGCATCATAGAGAGCAGGAAGCCATTGGCACTGCCACATCTGGTTGGGTGCATTTACGATTCACCAAGCACCACCTCCCTCTTCCCTGTCCGTTTACTTGCCCCACTCCTTCAAGCCATGTATAATCCTGCGTGTCGTAACAGCCGAGGTTTTCAACCCTCACAACATCCCACAGGATCCCCCACCGGAGCGTCTGGGCCCGTATTACTACTCCGTCGTGAGCGGTCCCGACGGCGGCTTACAGGCGTACATCCGTACCTCCGCAAGTGACAGCACATCGGCAGTAGCAACAACAGCAACAGCAGCTGCAATCACAACAGCGGTAACAAGCGGCAAACCACGCAGCAGCAGCAGCAGCAGCGGCGGCGGCGGCGGCAGCAACGGCAGCTGCGGCTTAAGTCGCCAACAGCAGCGGCCGAGACAGCCGTCCGAGGTGCTCCTCAGTCGGGAGATCGTGGCGCGGGAGGGCCAGGTGGCCGCGCAGATGGCTGGCCTCCGTCTAGGTGAGTGCGGCTAGCTAGGTGGCGAGGAGGGAGACTTGACATGGGCGGTCATGGGCCGTCATGGCGTCATGGGCGGACGCGGCCGTAAACTCTTTCCCTTTGTGCCTTGCCGTCTCCTCCCTCCCTTGCCTCACCTGACACTGCCGCCGGTTGGCGCAGCGGTGTGTCCTTAGTCGTGCCATTCCAATGCCTTAGAATTTTTCATAGCTCTGGGTCTGTGGCTTTTTTTCCGCTGGTCCTTTTCCTCGCTGATCCTTTTCCTCGCTGGTCCTTTTCCTCGCCCGGGCCTCCGCTCTCCCCCTCCGTGCTTCCCTTCCCTCCTCAGGCAATGTTGTGGGTGGCCTCAAGCTGTGTCCCCGCCACCGGCTACTTGCGTACTCGCTGCCCGTACTAGACCGACATGACGTCTTTTGTGTGCTGGTACGGGACACCAGAACTGGTAGGTGCGGCCTGACTGGCAGGGTAATGCGTGATTGGGGTTGAAGGCTGGTTGAAGGATGGGAGGGGCCACCGTGCAATCCCACCGTGCAGGCGGCGGGACCATGGCATGGAAGTTGGAAAGGTGGCGCTGGTCCTACGCGGGGTCTGACGCGGGGTATGCCCTAATACATTGCTTACTCAGGCTACTCTAAGAGGTGTTTCCTTTCCTAGCTGGTCCTGCCAGCTGCCATACGGCCTGCGAGATAGTGTCATGTATAATGTTGTTACAGGGTGGTATAGCTTCACCAGCGGCCCCCTTTCCCGAGGCAGTTCCCTGCTCTCCCCTGCGAGAGGGGCACCCTAATCTATTCACCCCTTCCAACTTCAGAATGTATTCGTCGGGTTCAGCAACTCACCATCTGCATCCAACAAAATCTAGCGGATCAACGGCGCCACAACTTGGTTCCTGGTCCGCTCGCAAATTGATATAATCACGTCCTACACTGTCCACAAGATGGGGGACCACCTCCCAATTCAACACCCCTCACACACCGAGGGGTCGGCAGGCGGATTTAAACCCGGAACCTCCGGGAGCAGAAGTCAGGCCTTAACCTCTGCCAGCCACCTGCCTATCACGTATGTCTGTCAGTCTGCAATCACTTGTCGTCATCCTTACTCAGTAGTTTGTCGCCTTTGTGCCGCTGCTGCCGCTGCCGCTGCTGCTGCTGCTGCTGCGGCGGCGGCGGCTACTGCTGCTGCTGCGGCTACTGCGGCTGCTGCAGGCCAGTTGGTGCTCCCCGGCGGAGTTGTGGGTGGTGTCGCGGGCCCCACGGCGATGGAGTTAGCAGCGGACGACCGGTCGTTGCTGGTACTGCAGGGGGACGAGCTGGGACGGCCGAGCAAGGTACGGGGCCGCGTCATCTGCAGCTTGAGATGTCCAGACGTTGTCAAGCCAACAGAAAGCCGAAGAGGATGAGTGTTGGCGGCGTTGGTACCGCCGTCGGTTGCATCGCCGCCGGCTCCGCTACCAACGCCGCCAGCACCGGCAGCCGCATGCGCCTCCACTGCTTCCAACAGCTGCTGGTCCACGGAAGACAACGACCCGTGGGTCATACCTTTCCATGAAACTCCAACCCCACCTGATCTCGGGAGCCACGTTGAACCTCCAATCCTTCAACCAATCCTTGTATCTGCAGGCTGTGCTGTACGACCTGTACTGCGCCGCGCCGCCACGTGTACTGCTGACGGAAGCCGACCCGCGATTCTTTCTGGCACTAGGCCGTACCAAGGACTGGGCGCTGCTGCTTATAAGCAGTAACTCCAAGACCTGCTCTGAGGTACAGCCTGAGGACGTAGGATTGTGCGGCACAGTCATACGGCTGCCTGCCGCGGTGGATGCAGACACGGTACACAGGTTTACACGGCGGCCTGTACCGTTGCGGTGCCGTGGGACGCGCTGCGCAAGGGGCCGCGCTGTGTGTAAGGAGCATTCGCCGTGTAGCGGCAGAGGTGGAGGAGGTGTCCCGCAAAGCGCACGACATGCTGCTGCGTTGCCGCCCTCTTGATGCATTTCCACCGAACGTTCCTTGCATGTTTATTCCTTCGTGTAATAACTAACTGATGCCGCTGCCGCAATCCTTCAATCCGCTCCTACACGCTGACCGCTCCCCCAAATTACCCAGTATCATCAGCATGCTCTACTCAGATCCACTCCATTCAAAGTTACTAGTTTAAGTTCTGTTTTTGAGGAAGTCTTTCCAGATCCTCATTCGTTCATTCATTCATTCATTCATTCGCGATCTCACTAGCATCGCTGCCCGCGTAAATTCGCCTTGCCTCTCATGTTCTGTCAGGTCCATGTGCTGGATGCTACCCGGCCGGGTTCCGCCCCGCCACAGCTGGTGCAGCCCCGGATCCCCGGACTCGAGTACTTTGTGGAGCACTACAAACCAGCGCCACTAAGAGCAGCAGCAGCTGCAGTGAAGCACCCAGAGCAGCGACAGCCAACACCAGCGCCAATAAGAACATCACCAGCGCCAGCGCCATCAACAATAGCAGCAGCAGCGTGGTGGAAGGTGCGGGGCACTTGGTTATCCTAACCAACGCAGATATGAAGGCGCTGCGAGCAGTTAGTGGCGATGGTGGAGGCAGCAGCAGAAACAGCAGTAGCAGCAGTGGTAGGGAGTTGACGGTGGTTACAGCGTCGCTGTCCCAACCGGGTTTGGAGCACTGGCGGCCGCTGCTGCCGGAGCGACGCGAAGTGGTCGTGACGGACATGGACATGTTCGCGTGAGTGACGGTGTGAGTGAATTGAAGCGGCCATGCAAAAACTGAATCAGAGGCCTCGAGCCGTTGTTTCTCTGTGTTCCGAAACCATTACAACCAACCGCTGCCTCTCCCACCGACCCTAGCACTTGTTAACCTGATCGACCTGTTGGTCCTTCATTGCAGCGATCACGTCGTCTTGTACGAGCGGCGGCAGGGGATGCCCGCGGTCAGCGTGTTACCGTTAAGCTGGACAGCCGTCCGTACGGGCAGTACGGCACGTCAAGGCGACGGTGCAGGAGCTTTGGCGGAGAAGAACGACTGTCACTGGGACGATCTCCCCCAACCCACGCAGGTGAATGGTCGCGGTTCGTATGTCGGTCTGTAGCGGTGAAGTCATCTCACCTCTTTAGCGTATTAGCCGTTGAAGCACCAGACGAGCCACAAAGCCAAGCAAGGTTTAGGGACTCCCGAGCAGTTGTGGTGACCTTGGCGATGGCGTTGGTTGGTAATGCGGTCTCCCCATGTGGGTACGGGGACCTCGCGGCAGCATACGTACGTTCCACGGGGCGTGAGAGGGGAAGACCCTCCTCAACCTCCTAATGCTGCACTGCACACTGTGCGGATACGCGCTTTCCTGGGCTCCGAAACCCACATGGCCGCGTCCCACCGTTCCTTTTCCCCCAGGTGCCCCTGCCTCCTTGGGCGCTCCACGTTACCCCTGGAGTCAACGCGGACCTGTTCTCCCCTTCCCTCCGTCTTACCGTGTCCAGCCCATTACACCCGCCGACCACTCTCGAGTACGACATGCGTACGGGCCGTACGGAAATCCTGGCACAGGAGAGGCCGCCGCCAGCCGCCGCAGACCTGCTACGTCGCTGCTCACTCCTGCAGCTCCGTGTCGAGTCGGCGGCTATGGCAGCGGTTGCGGATGATGATGACGACGGTGGCGCGTCTGTGGGCGCCGTACACGTGCCGGTCACGTTGGTGCTGCCACCGGGATTGACGTTTCCGCGGGACGCGGTGAGGAAGGAGGAGGGTAGCGGCGGAGGTAGCGGCGGAGGGGGGCGCATTCCGGGCTTCACGTGGCGCGTGATTTCAGGTCCGGGGCGGAACGAAGGCGGCGGACGTGCAGGTTGTTGCGAAGACGCCGTCCTCGCTGATGGCGTTGCTGCTGGCAGCGACGACAGCAGCGCTCTCCTGCCGACGGAGAGCGCATCCGCCGGTGACCGTCCAAAATCTGCACCCTGGGACCCGTCTGAAAAGAAAATGAACGACAGCTGCGATGGCGGCCGAGGTGGCGGCGAAGCTGCACTCAACGAATTGGGGTTGCCCCGGCCGCTAATGTTGTCTGTGTACGGCGCATACGGCTTACCACTAGAACTGCAGTACGATCCGACGCTACTATGCCTGCTGGCGCGGGGCTGGTCAGTCGTGAAAGTACATGCGCGGGGAGGTGAGGCTTTGGGGCTTCAGGGGAGGTTTTGGGGCTTCTGCTGTTTTGCGGACATAACTGGTTCTAGACGGAAGAAAGAAATTGTGTCCACACCGGCGCACTTTTTATACATAGAGCCGGCAACCTTTGTGTGGCCTGGCTGTGCCGATTAGCAGTCTCCGGGCCGCAGCGGGAGGTCATGGCCACGTTTGTAGAGTTCCGTTCTGGGCTCAAGGCACCGATAAGGCTGGCCCTCAAGGGGAGGGGTGGACCCGGGTGAAGCAAGGACCCACCCGGGGTGGACCAAGCCGCACCTGCAAATGGTGCATGATGCCTGGGCGGGACTGTGCCGCAGCGCGTGCTGAGGTTGGTGGTGAGAGGGCCTTCGTAGCCACCGTGCGCTCTCTCATCATCGATTTCGTGAGGTAGAGACACAGGGTCGCGCGCCCTCGGTCGAGCAGAAGGGGGCTGTGGCCCCTCACGCCCCTCTCCTCCCCCCGCTAGGGGGAGAGTGCTTCGGCGGTCGTTCCCTTCGGGTATTTTACGTTTAGGTGCCGCTGGCCAGCGTCAGGCCCGGTTCGATGTGTAACAGAAGCTACATACATACATACATACATACATACATACATACATACATACATACATACACACATACATACATACATACATACACACATACATACATACATACAGGCGGCGAGCTGGGTCGCCGTTGGCACAGCGCCGGCTGTCGCCGCCACAAGAGGGCGGCTGTGGAGGATTGCCTTGCAGCGCTGCGGGTCCTTACTACCGCCCCAGCCGCCTTCTCCTCCTCCATGTGCCGGTCGCCGTCCCAGTCCGCCGCTGTGGGTCCGTTGACGTCCGCCGGACTGGTGGCGGGGCATGCGATTAGCGCCGGTAAGGGAGAGGAGAGGACTGGGTGAGAGGGCTGAGCTATATTAGGCTGGGCTGGGTAAAAATGTCGTCCTTTAGTCGCGGACGTACGGTTCGTACCTTAAGTGTACACACACGCACAGCGTTTTTTCTTGGAAATAAAAACGCTATCGTACATCATATTGCAGTGCCTGTGTTCAAACCAGATTTCTGCATGTACAACTCTTATGAGTTCCCAGGTGGCGTCGTCCTGGGTGCCGTGCTTAACACTGCTCCTGAGCTCTTCGGTGCTGCCGTCCTGCGGTGCGCCTTCCTGGAGCTTCTGGGCAGTTGCAGCGATACCGGGCAACCGCTAACCGCACACGAGTGGGACGAGTGGGGTCATCCTGACGACCCACGGGACTGGGTCGCGGCTGGGAAGCTCTGTCCGTATCACAATCTGGATCAGGCCGTGGGGAGGTGGAGGGCGGCTGTGCTTGCAAGTTGCGCAGAGGAGGTACGAACCGGAGGATGGACGTCCTTCGTCGATGTCGTGAGTTGGGGGGTTACCCCGATTTGAAGTTTAGGTCCCGTTGCTGAATAGGGTTTAGAGACGATGTGTGGGATGGGAGTGTGTATCTGGGGTTGGGTTTTTGCGGGTACATGAAAGCGGCGACTGCCGTGTCACGAGTACAGGAAAAACCTGCAAGTATATGTTGTTGCTTTGACGTACGACGCACGGCACATCTCCACATGCTATGCTGTGGACGTATGGTAAAATGGTTTCTCGCGTAAGGCGATACCCAATGGTCGACCTCATGTAGGACCCGCGAGTGCACCCTAGTATCCCTGCCAAGTGGGTGGCTCGCCTACGTGAACGACTGCGTCGTAATCTGGATCAGCCGGCTGCAGCACACGAGAACGATGCTAGCGGCGACGACACCCTCGTGAACGGCGGCCGGTGGCGGCGGCTGATGGACGGGTTATTGCGGGGAGGGACCGGCTCCCGTGGCAGGTTGAATCGAGTGCCAGGGCCTGGTGACGGCGGGGCAGGCGGCGGCCTCGTGCCGAGTACATTAGTTACAAAGGAGGGTCACGACGGTGGTGCAGGTGGTAATGACGGACGGGGCGTGTGCGCCCCGTTGCTACGTGTGTACTTTGACGGTTCGGGCCATGTGCGGGCGGATCCCGGTGCCCAGGCAGAGCAGGTGGCGGAGGAAATGGCGTTCATGCTCGTGGCGTTGGTGGGGCGGGAGCGAAACACGCCATGAGTAGAGACGAAAGGCCGAAAGCACACATACACACACAGGTCAAGTTTGCTAATAAAAAATAACAGCAGTACAACGCAGGTATCGTGCACATTCGGGTTGCAACGCAAAACTTCTCTAATGGAAAAGGCTGTAAGGTGGAATGCGGGTGTGGAGGAAATATTGGTTCCACACGCTTTTCAGCAACAGACTCATCAAACAGAAATCAGTAGTTGGCAGTCATGCTTAGTTGATGGCTGGCAGCGGCAATACTACTTTGCTGCATCTTTCCTAGAGAGCTTTGCGGCCTTGTGCTGCCGCTGCCGCTGCTACTGCTACTGCTGGCAGCAGGTAGCAGGGTTCTTCACCCCGATTCGGGCCCGAACATTTTTGAGATTTTTCCGTTTTGCCCGAAAGGAAAATTAACGCGGCCCGGAGCATCCCGAACGGATTTTGGGCCTTTTGAAGCATTTCTTCGGGGGCCCCACCGAAGCCTCCCGAAGGCATTTTCGGAGAAAACCGAACGATATTTAAGCGTAAATTTGCATGTTTTCGGGCGCGGAAAGGGCCTGGAAACCGGGCTTGCAGTATAAGATGGCCTTGCAGTTGGAGCTGGGCCGCACCACCTGGGAGCGGGCCTGGGCTGGAATGCATCAGTGGGTCCACTTGTTTCCACGCTTAGGGTTTTGGATAAAATCCTTGCCTGAACCATTGCTCCCAGGTGCCATGTTCCAAAACAAAGTCAAACACCTGTTAATTCAGCCGTCCTAGCATATTACGATAGAATCCTGCTAAATTTTACCCCGAAAACAGCTTCAGACAGTTTCGGGGTGCCAGAAAAAAGTTTCAGGTGCAGGTCTCGCAGTTGGATGTACGGCAGCACCAAGCATACGCGTTGCATGCCACCTGCCGTACTGTACGACTGCTACGGCTGAAGCTGTGCACCGTGCAGTACGACAAAAGAACAGAAAAAGTGCGATGCGATTAGGTTGATACAACCTACTGCATACCAAGGTGCAGGTAATGCGTCAGCAACCAGCTGCAAACAGGGCTCTATCGATGTATTGGTTGATTCGGGGAGGGCCCCGATAGGTTAATCAGAGGGTTTCGGACACAACCGAAAATTCTGGGTACCCTGGTGAAGAACCCTGAGTGCTGCCAGCCGAACAGGACGGGATAGTCCCAACAATCATGCCTCCGGAGGTCCCCTTCCCGCGTGTCTCCCACATTTTCCCAAATCCACCTCAAACCATCAAACCACCACATTGCCTGCATATGTGGGTTCCGTGTGTTGAGTTGGTGTGGATATGTGGTGTGGGACTTTGCGTAGTGGCGCGGGTGTACGATACAAGATTTATGCCCATCACAAATCCCTCACACAACAGCACGATGAGGCAAGATGTTGCAGAATGCGAAAAGCCCCCGAAAAAGCATGAAACAGAC